TAATGAACTATTTTAGAGTGTAAAGATTATATGTAGAAAACGTCCAATCAAATATTAGGATAAGCTCAAATTTAAGATGACAGAACGGTTTGTTCCAAGTTACTACACCCAAGAACACATACAAAAACTTAAAAGACTGCAACAAGATAGTAAATTTGTGGAGGATTATTATCAAGAGATGGAATCCTTAATATGACGAGCAAGGCATTGTGACAAATATTACCATTGTTACTGATTCGTGGAAGGTCTCAATCTAGAAATTCATGATGAACTTGATACACAAGATTACAAAGATCTTCAAGATGCATTACAAAAAAAAACCATCACAATTAAAAACGAACATCAAAGGAGATATCGATTCAGAGAACAATATCAAGGTACTTTAAATCCTTCCACTTCTTCTTCCAGTCTACCTTCTACCATGGATATTGAATCAAACGCTAACAATGATGAATACAATGCTAGCAGCGTTATAATAGAAGATATTGATCTTTAGTCACTTAGTCCTCCTACATTATTGGAATCAAAAGATGAACTTTAAAGTCATTTGATGAATTTTTTTGAGAAGGGTGGGGAAACACAAAAAGAAAATATAATGAAAAATACACAAAAATAAAAGAGGTCATAGTTACAAAAGTCAAAAGAATAATGACTCACGGGAGGTGAGTGAACCTAATTGAGAGGAGAAAATATTTATTGAAAATACATATGTGAGCACAAAAGAATTGAGAGAAAACTTTCTTCACAAAGATCCTTGCATTCTTGTCCACTTTAGACAACCACTGGTTTTGATTTCTAACAATAACACTAGCTTGCCTAATACGCTTGTTCTTCTTTTACAGAGTTGTCAAATTGTGTTATGTTACCCTTTTGACAGGTTACCAACAAAAAGCCTTAATCACTATGTCATATCAGTGATGAATCACGATTTGTAGGAGTCTAATGGTAAGTGTTTTACAAGCTTTTCTTTCAATACATCTAATTCTCTTTCTCTTGGATTTTCAGATTCATGGACGAATCCTTTTGAGGAGAGGGGGAATGATACATAAACCAAAGTCCATAATAACAATACATTCTTCTTTGGACTAATATTTTTACTCAAACCTATTAGAAGAACAAAGTCTCAAAGATTCAAAGCATATGTACTTGGTAAGTATAATACAAGTGAATTCTTAAAAAGGCTCTAATGTTTCTCCCTTTGATATTTTAAATTTGAAGTCGAATCCTTTTTAAGATAGGGGATATGATACATGCACCAGAAGGCTCACATCAAAGGAAAATAGACTAACGATTCCAAATGATCCACACGATCAAACCTTGGAAAAGAAGACCAGATCAATAGCATACATATGATGACTTTTTGAATGTGATACATCTGTTATTTGATCAACATGTCTGTAGATACGATTGGTTGTCTCTTTGCTTTTCAACGGTTCTTGAATCGCATGAATTCGATATCGAAAACTCAAGATATGCTCGTTTTAGTGAAGACATTGTATGCAAAAATTCCTATACATGATTAATACAAGATTTTATAAATATTACGAATTTTTAATATTTTATTGATTATTTATAATATAATTTAATATAGGATGATGCATATTATTCTTAGTTTTGTTTATTAGGAATTAGAATTATAACATGTCTACTTTATTATTATTTATATTCATTAGTTATTTAGGACTTTATATCTCCGCTCCTATATAAAGGAGTCTTCATTCAACGTTTTAATCAGATCTTTTCCTTGAATACAATACATTGAGAGTTTATATTTGCAAGTGTTGATTATTTGTGCATTCGAAACTTCATTTCATTAAGTTCTTTCCAAGTTTTTTGTGAGAAAAATCTTTACACTCCGATTGGCCTCTTCATTGAGATTAGGAGGGTTGGCTAGAGTCATATATCGAATTTTCCTTTTCATTGTGACTAGGAGGGTTCGATGAGGGCAATTATCTATCTATTTCCATCTTCCACAACTTCTTCATCTTCTTCTTCCATTCAAATCATTCTGCTTTCTTCGTCGAGTCTAGAGCTTTCTAAGTTTGATTCTTCAACAACAACAACATTCATTCATCCATTGCCACATCTCTATCAATTAGTATTGAGTCCAAAATTGTAAATTTATTGTATACATTGTTTAAAAATAAAAGAGTTCTCAACTTTTGCATAACTATTTTAATTGGAATATTTAATTTTATTTTGTTAAAAAAGTTCAATTGTGACATTCGCAATCTTATTGAATTTATAAGTTGAATTTATGATGTTACAATGTTTGAGTATTTAATGTCTTTTGATTTATGGATTTATGGATGGAAACAGATCCGATAGAATAATTATTGTATCAAAATTGTTAAAAAAGTAATGATAAATGTTAGTGATAAAGGATGACATAAATAGAGGAAAGACTGTCAACCACGACCTATTGATTGCTGATTAAAGTGTTACAATAATATATAAATTGATATAGGATGGCATAAATGGAGGAAAGACTGCCAACCACGACCTATTGATTACCGATTAGTCAAAATATTACAATAAATAGACAAGAAAGTAATCAAGAAGAAGAGTAGTTGGGCACAGCTTAACAATGATGTGGCATATCAGGAAAAGGTTGAAGCTGAGCTTGCATCCAACCCACCCTGTTTCCTACTATTATCATTAATTGTATACATCACAAGTAAATAAAAAAAATTAAAACAATAAATTGATCTAGTGAACTAAAAATTAAATCTCTTGAATAAATTTAGGAATTCGAATTTTAATATTTACAAATAAAGTAAATTTAGTTGAAAAAATTATCCTCGCAGTATAATAACATATCCAAATTAATTAATTAATAAATCGAATATTGATATTATTAAAAAAAAGGAGAGAGATAGAGCGAACAAGTTTGTCCATTTAAATGCAAAGGTGAAGTTGATATTTGACAAGAAACGATGATGGGTAAAAAATTGTGGGCGAAACTTGGCCCTATAAAATCCTAAAAGTTAATAATTATGAATGGAGAGAGAGAGTTGGGTGTTTAGATGTGGAAAGGAGAGTGTGTTAGGTTAGGTGTCATGTGCTTTGAAAAAATGAAATAAAAAATGAAAGGCGCATACTAGGTTAGTAATTGCATGGATAGTGATATTTGGAGAGCTTCATGATTCTTCTATTCATTTCTTTTTTATTTTAACCTAAAAACATGAAAACCCTTTCTCTTCATCCTGTTAGGTAACAGTTGTCATTATCCCTCTTTTATAAACCCCTTTCATCATCTTTTTTGCCCATTGACATGGATCTATAAGGTAAAATTCAGCAAGTGGCTCATTTTTCTGCAGTTTTATTGGAACTGTTAAACGTCAGGGAAAACCTGCGACGCACGCCATTGAATTGGTGCAGAAATATGCTTTCCATATAGGCTGGCCCCTCGCCCATGTGCGGTCCCTTGTCAAAACAAAGCCAATCTCACGAGCCAAATTACATGATTTCTTACCATTTTTGCCTAAGCAATTTAGAAAATCTACCTACGCTGGCCTCACATTGATATGAACAAACTTAGGCTACGTAGCTGGGAGTGTGTACCAATGTTAATTGACGCTACATGATTTATCGTACGATTGACTTCACTCAACCCGATCACGACTACTAGACAGAAGATTGTTTTTAGAATCAATCATATGCAAGGTAAATGACAAAAATGGTTAAAACATGCATTAGATGATATCTTTGGATGGTGCAGATTCGTTTAATGTAGGGAAGTAATTCATATGAAAAAAACCTGGGTACAGTGAAAAGGATATGAGCAAATAATTTCCAAATATTCTGGTCCTTGCGCATTCCAAGTAGAGGGAAAATACATCAAAACTCTGATTATCCTATTGTTATCCAACTAAAGCCTTCTTCTGGGAGAAATTATTGAAGAAGAAAAACAAAATGATGGGCCTTGTAATTCAAAGTTAAATCCTGAAATGGGCTTACCTCATAAATTGGATAACTTACTCATGTAGGTTTTTGAATTGCAAGGACACAAATAGGCACAAAGATGAGGTTTTTGAATTGCAAGGACACAAATAGGCACAAAGATGTTACATGGGAGTTTTCAATTTAACTACTGATTTTTAGTTTTATCAATCATATCATTCAATTATTTAAACGATGTTCAAGTCAATTGTCGTTAATATTTAACTGGAGATCTGATGTGACAGCTAATAAAAGTGATATATTAACACATTTGGTTTTTAATACTTACACATCCTATCAATTTGTTCCTAAATTTAATTTAATTCTATAAATTTAACTCTAATCATATGATGACATATATTACCATTTAGTTGAAAGAAAACAAAATTACATAGAATGGTGTTAAGGGGTTAAAAGGAATCTAACCTAGGTCTTAAAAAAGGAACATGCCTACCCTTAACCGATAAGCTAAGCTCAACATGAAATGTATTATATATAGAGAAAGATAGAGGGAGGGTTAGAATCTACTTACACAATGCAAAATTCCTTTAGCTTTACATATATTTAAGACCGTTAGATGAATAAAAATATATTGATGAGATTAACTCATTTTTTTTCAATAAATATTTTTTCATTTTATATTCATAATCTCAATTTCTATTTTCACTCGTCCAAAATTCATAAATGTATGTAAAACTAAAGGAATTTTAGTTTATGTAATTAGATACTATCCCGTTATATTGTAATCAATGCAAGAAAATAAAAGGAAAAATAGTCATAGGAAGATCTAAAGCTAGGGTAAGGAGTCTGAATGAAATTAGACTGTTTGTGATGGATTAGACGGGCTGAATTTTTATAATTGGACATGGATCCACGTAAATGACCAAGTACATCTATAAGACATCCGGTTCGAATTAACATAAATAAGATTAAGAAAGATCCAGGCTTTTATAACAGAGATTGATGACCAAGTCCATCAACTAAACCAAGAATTCCGGTGAACTGAATGTTGCTTGAATTTGATACATAACTATAAACAACTCATTACTCGAATGAGAAACATACAATAATCTGAAATATACACACATACCTCAAACTGAAAAACAACAAATTTACGAGCGAGTAAGCTCATATTCATCCATTTTTTTTTTGCCGATCCATCAGCAAAATGTATTTAATCCCATAATAAATAAATAAATAAATAAAATAAAAGAATACTGCACAATATACCAAATCCTGCACAAAGGAATCCATTAGAATAATGGATGCAAACTTTACACATTTATGGCTTGATCAGACTTGCGTGCTTAAAAGGTGTCGCCACTGCCTCAGCTGGGGGCCCTTGTCTAAAAGCATTAGCAAGCCAACCTTGCTCGGTGACGATCGATACAGGTAGCTATATTATAAAACAAATCAAACACCAACATTAACATTTCTCTAGGATATAATGTGCTTCTAAACTTCAAAGTCGATTTCCCAAGAAACAGATCACAATATATAACCTTATGTATTCATGCAGCTTCCCTAACGCCTGCATCTCTATGCATATAACAAAAATTCTACTTGCTTCTGCATATAACACAAATTCTACTTACTTGCTTCAGCGAGCTTTCCGCCTCCAGAAAATCAATGGCGCAATCCACTGAGAAAACAAAATCGACCGAAAATTAAGTCTGAGTGACAATGTGGAAACACATCAAAGGAAATACAAGAATGCTTCGGCTATGGAAAACATATTGAATAGCTCTATTGATGAAACATCATCACATGTTCATGGGACTTCCAACAAGTAAAGAGCAGCATGGATATTAAAGGAAAGGGAAGCTTTTGATGCAACAGAGGATGAAAGATGGAGAACAGCAGCCAAACTACACTGTAAAATTTCAAAGCAACATGAAATCGAAGAATGCTGAATATAAACCTCGGAATGTCAACAGTAGAAGCAGGTGGTACAAAATATAAGCAGAGAATGCACATTAGGTAAACAGAGATAACTTTCAAGACTGACATGAATGGCAAGCTTCCAGGAGAAGATGGCTTTGTTACTTGTCTATTTGATGGCATTTCCTTGGACAAATGTTGAGCTATTTCTTTCAATAAAACTAATTGCGCTTTGTCAGTTCGCATTGATGACAATGTCTGTTTCATTGATTCCCTGTCAGCCTCAAGGGCCTGAAGCCTTGAATAGAGCTTCTTGATATCAGGATCACAAGCACCAGGCAGGTTAAATGCCCCCCTTGGAGTGGATGCAAATTCGTCACCAGTTCCAATTCCAGGTTTGGGTTCGGGTGTTTCACTATATGCCACCTCATGATGGACTGAATCAATGGTTCTGTCACTCGTTTCATCTCCAACTTCTGAAGTTTTATCCATTCTTCTTGAGTTGGAAATCTCATCCATCTTTGAACCCGACTCTATCTTCTTGTAGCAAGCAGTAAACTTAGGAGAACCAATGTTAAACCGGGGAGAACTGATGGTAAACTCTGAAGCGGTCTCTTTATCCAGGAACGAATTACAACTATCAGCTGAAAATCTTCTTGTGGTTCTTATTCGCCTGGGAGATTGGCCGACTATCAACTTCTTGAGAACATTTTTTGTTCCAATTAAACCTCCATCCATCTGACTGCTGCTGGGATTCCTCTCCGCTTGTAAGACCCTTTGTTCCAAATCCCTCGACTGATCTTGAGTATTAGGGGTCCTTTGTTCCAAATCCCTCGACCGTTCTCGAGTATTAGGGGTCTCTACGAAAGCACATTTCTCAACATCTTCAACCTGATCACCAGGATTCTCATTCAAAATGCACTTTAGTGGTGGATAATCATATGAGCGAAGATCAACTTGCACATCAAAGTTCTGAGCCGTACCCAGACTCTGAACCTCTTCATCCTTCTCCCCTTTGGCCTCGGCCTCCGTAAGACCGTAACTCATCATCCTATGCTTGTAAGCCAATGCTTCACAAGTAAGTGATTCAACAGCCTGTTCTCTCTTATACAAAAGATCTTCCAAGGCAAGTATCTCCTCCTGATCATGCGCCATTTTCTCCTCTGCAAAACGCTTGAATTGGCTTGCCTCCATTTGGACCTCTGCCTTCTGTTTCTGCAACTTTAATATCATCGACATCGCCTCAGTCGCTGCTGACGACGAGGCATTTCTCTCCTTCTCCAATTCGGCATACAAATCCTTTATTGTTGCCTGTTGGCCGCAAACAGTCTCCCGCAAAACAACACATTCGGTCTCAATTTGGATTCTGGGATTTGAAAAAAGATCAAATTCCGGAACATAAAACCGATTTCCAGTCTCAAATTCATCAAATTTTCGCTTCACGGATCGAAACCAAGTACTTGAAGGTTTACCAATCAAAGAACAAGTGGGACAACCGCAATCACAACATTTGGTCAAATCTCTTGGAGTTGAAAATATTTCAGACTCCATGCATTCAAATTCAAGCAATATTATTAATTCCTATCAAATTCAAGATAAAAAAATATATATAAATAAATCAAGGAAAATAAATTAAAGTTATCTCTCTCGTGAGGGCGAATCTTAGATCCCCCAACGAAATTTTCCTTCCATTACTTTGTAAATCCACCCACGACTACATAAAGTACTCTTGGATCAATCAATCAGAAAAAAAGTTTCCTGCAATGAAGAACAAAATATATGAACGATATGAAACTAAATGTTCCCCCTTTCTTTCTTTACCTTGGGAAACCAAAAAAAGGTTCCCTTTTTTGGAGCGAAAATAATCTTCTTGAAAATTACAAAGTAACGATAATTTTAAGTTGTAATTCCGATGAAATGATTTCTCAAGAAAATAATACCGTGGAAGCTGAGGGAGAGAAGGCTGGAAAAAGGATGTAAGTTTTCCCGGGAAAGCTAGCCTCCAGCGAAGAAAAATCAACCCATTTTTGTTTTTATTTCCATTATTATAACTTTTCTTTGAGGCCCGTCACCAACCCAATCGTAGGAATTGCAATGGTGTTTGGAGGGAAGGAAAATCTGGAGGGGGAAATAAGAAAATTTTATATATTAAAATTGAAAAATGGATAGAAACTGGAAACCCCCTCAAATGTATTTTTGAATGGGAGAATTTATTACTTTATAGTTAAGTTTTTTTGGTTGTTTTTTTAAAAATAGCGTTAACTGTATTATCACTAATTTTTTAGGAGACTTCAATTTTGGTCTTAAAAATTAAAACAATATTACTAACTCATTAAAGTTTTTTTTATATTTTCATTTTAGTCACTATTAATATCATTAACAATAGTTCAATCAATTTGATATATATTTTTAATAAATTAATATTTTTTTAACAAAATAATGATACATATAATCTTTTATTGATAGAAATTAATAAATATATGAACTATAAGAGTTAGTGTGCGAATGATATATGGCAATAACCAAAATAAAAATATACCTAATAAAATTTTTCAATTTAAATAATTAAAATATAAATATTAAAATAGTTCAATGATAATTAATATAATTCGTCTTTAAAATTAAAATGAAATAAGCATTACTTGAAAGATAAATTAAATTAATAGAAGAATAGGGAAAAGTAATAAAAATGGTCGAAATGATAATAAATACTCAAATATTTTTATAGGTATTGTATTTGAATTTGAGACCTTTAAGATAAAGTAAAGTACACAAATAGTCTCTCGACTATAAGGCATTACTTTGTTAGTCCAATGACTATTAAAAGTTTTAAAATGATCATCTGACTATAAGATACTACTTTGTTGAGTCTCTCGACTATTAAAAGTTATAAAATGATCACCAGACTATTCATATGTTTCAAGCACATTCTTTTCTGTCAAAAAAATTGATAGTCGTTTGAGCTGGACGTTAACATGTTGACTATGATGTATTAAAATTTGATCTTAGAATCTCAAACGACTATATAATTCAAACAATTATCGACTAAGATTTTATCATATCTCGGTAAGCATGCTAATGTCCAGCTAAGAAAACTTAAATTTTTAATAGAAAAATACGAGTTTGGAACATATGAATAGTTAGACAATCATATTGTAACTTTTAATAGTCAATTGACTCAATAAAATAATGTTCTATAATCAATGAACAATTTTATAACTTTTAGTGGTTGAAAGATATGAGTAACACCTATAATCAAAAAAATTATTTATGTTCTTTATCTTTAAAGATAATAATCATCTCCTTAGCCTCGTTTGGTTGATTACATTTGCTGAGATTGGAGTATTTCAACGCAGTTAAACTCGTGTTGCTTACGCGTAAACTAAATAAATATAAGTTTAGAGCATTGTTCAAAATTGTCGGCTAACTGAATTATAAGAAACCATGTCCTACACAGTCATCACTAATTATAAGTTATTACAATTTACAATCAGTGCCTTTTAAGTTAGTTAATATGATTAAATTTAAGCATTTGTTAATGAAAAATGAGTTATAACTAACCTAAAAATAATTAATTAGTTAAAAAATATAATCATAAATAATTATGGAAACAAATGATTATTACGTTCCATTGGCTTGGTTTTGTTCCAAACAAGGCGAGTAACTCAATGGTGGCGGTTGTGTAACGTACAGTCAGCTGTAACCGTCAGAATCGTCAGAAAATAACGAGGGAAAACTATAAAAATTGACGACCCTTTGTGGTGCTTTTCATGATGGTTGGTACAATTTCATGTTGGGTGGAGGGACTGAGTTTTGGTCGCGGCAACGAGACAATTCTGATGATGACAACAATGATAGCCACAGACTTTCAGTGACCGATTAGTAGTGAAATTTAAGTTGTTGTTTTTAATTATAATATTATATTTTTAAATATTTTTTTGAAATTTTATATCCGTGACATGTGTTAAATAATGACCAAATTTAACGATCATTACGGTCCAGACACCTAAAGTGTAACGTTGAAAACGTTAAATACCTATTTTTAATGAAAATTTCTTTAAAGACAAAAAATTAATTTGAGATATAATTTATACACCTAAAAATATATTAAGCTTGTAAAGAATCACTGAGCTATACTAATCTGATCATAGAATAAATGGTAATTAATGAATCTATATTCCTCCTTTTATTTGTGTTCCATGGATCAATATTAGATGTGTTTCCTTATAAACTTATAGATATTGTAGTATTGAGTACGGATTAAGCGAAATCAATGATAAAAGAATTGTTGTTAATTTTTGGGGTCCCAGGTTCTAGCACCAGAAATGCTAGAAGTGTGAAAGTACAATGTCAAATGGTTAAAGTTACCTTTGAACAAATACTATATTGTACTATTCAAATGTAAACTGCGTAAATTGTGTCTAATGTTTAAGTATGTTTTCGTTTTTCATTAAAATTTCAAAAGTAACAAATTGACCACTAATATTATTAATTTGTAACAAATTGAACATAACGTTAACGAGTTAATGGTCGTTAACGTGAGTGATCGAAAGCTGAGTTGGACTGCTGTTTGCTTACCTGGCGCATTGACTGGTCATCTCTTCAACTTTAAATAAAATCCCAAAGTGAAGCTACCGTTTCTCCAACTTATGTGACAGCCACACTCGAGAGCAGTTCAATGCCTTTTTCCCCAAGCCTCTGTGAGCGCCTCGTTGTTCTTAAGCCTAGCAATGTCGGGGTTATGAACCAAAGACCGTATGCTCCATCGGAGAAAATCAGGCTCAGGTCTGAAATCAGCATCGATAATGGCCACATATTCATAGTGTTTCACGTTACGCTTATCCCTTTGCTCGCCCATATTTGGTACTCTTGCTCCACTAATATTTGCTTTCAAGAATACAGCTATGTTTAATGCATTTCAAAGCTAAAACAATGGTGATCTGTTAGGGAGTAGTGTTGGTTGAATCATCGAGCACTTGATGATGAAACAACTCGTTGGCTAGGAAGTCCACATGCGGTTCTAATTGAGATTTTGTAAACTTGTATCGATTCAAACAAGCAACATCATCATCATCAGAAGTAACCCAGAAAACAGAAATAACATTCGAGGGGAAGATGGTGAGAGACCGACCTCTTTTTCATTGAACATTGGGGTTTGGACCTAGACAACGAGAAAATTCAAGCTATCGAGTTCCTCATCATATTGGATGGGCTCGTATCGTTCATCCAATTTTTTCAAGAAGAACTTGACGAGGATGGTGTAACACCCATTTCTGGTTTCAAAACCTAAATACGAGTTAGAGATGTTACATCAACTATCTAAAATATTTCCTATTCAAAGATCCATAAAATTTTATTTCTTTTAAAATAATCAAATTTAATATCAACCTTTGAAAGTATTTAATCGCTTAAAACCAAAATATAATATTTTAACGTCTAAATCAAATTTAATTTTAGGCAGTAACATGACAATTCAATATTGTTTCATATGTAGAGTGAAACAACATAAAAACTGGCTATTTTAAAATTCATATTGTTTAAAATATAATATTAACATATTTAATTATACAGATCGATTTAAAACCTATTTATACTAGAGTAGACACAACATATATAATATACATGCCAACTAGAAATGGAAAAAACATCACAAGATGTCATACTGATACTGGAGGTCTAGTCTAATATTCAAAGGTGATGTCGAGCCTAGCTCCTTACTTGACCGCTTTTCTTTAACTACGTGTAAAACAATCACATGCTACATATACACTTAGTGAAGAATTAATAATAAATTAAAATATCAATACGAATAAAATCTCATTTAAAAGATAATATGATAGTATCATATAACAATAAAAAAAACATATAAAATGGACTTTACCAAGTCTCTTTTTTTCGTGTAAAACATAGTTCATAAATATGAAGTCATCTTGACTGTGTGAAACAGTCTAAAAACTGCTTATTTTAAAATTCATCCTCATAGTGTTTAAAATATAATATAATAAATTGCTAAACATGCAAACTACTATTAAAAACTAGTAATATCCTTTCTAAGTTAACATATTTAATTATACAAATCGGTTTAAAACCTATTTATATTAGAGTAGACACAACATATATAATATACATGCCAACTAGAAATGGAAAAAAACATCACAAGATGTCATACTAATACTGGAGGTCTGGTATGATATTCAAAGGTGATGTTGAGCCTAGCTCCTTACTCCGACCGCTTTTCTTTACCTACACGTGAAACAATCTCATGCTAAATATACAATTAGTGAGACAATAATAATAAATTAGAATATCAATAGGTATAAAAAACCATTTAAAATATATTACGATAGTATCGTATAGCAATATAAAAACATATAAAATAGACTTAACCAAGTCTCTTTTTTTTTCGTGTAAAACATAGTTCACATATGACTCACATATAACCAAATCAGAATATTCAATGAAAGGTTTATTTTCAAGTAAATCAATCGACCTGCACTTTTTAATTTCCTATAAATCATAGCCCAATGTATATCAATGAGAATACAAGATACGCGAGTCTCGTCGAATTCACATAATATGCACTTAAAAGTGCCTTGTAGGTAATTTGCACTCGAAGTGTCTCATAGGTAATTTGCACTCGAAAGTGCCTCAGTGATTTGCACCATAGGTGCCATATAAAATGTTCAAATATGTACCATATAATCATTCCACCTAATGGCATGCCAATTGTACCTAAGATTCTCAATTTGCATAAAATGGGCTTTTCGTATCAGTCATATGACATTTATTTATAAGAAGTATCCAAAGATACCAACATATCTATATATCATTTAAAAGGGCATTGGGCAATTCATACTCGGAATCATCCGTAATTCATTTAGTAAAAACATCATATAAAAATGTATTGGGCAATTCATACCTAAAATCATCTAAACACTATTTTAGTGAAACAAAATGAAAATAAGTTAAAATATGATTTAAATAATTTTCTTTCTAAATCATTCGAGGTTGACTCGTCGCAAGTCTTTCTCATATCATATATATAATAGGTAAGAATGCACTCACCTGATGCCTCATTAGCAAACCATACTATTAATATAAACTTCACTTACTTTTTTCCTTTGCTTTTAACTTGCTTGTATCTCGATCTCTATCTAC